GTTCTGGGTGGAACACGGCACAGAATTTCCTGCCGAGGAATGGCTTCTCTCTGACTGCCTTTAAACCTGAAGACTAACTCAAAAACTCTCTGGAGATCCCTTCCAGTTGAGCACTGGGACCATCGAGTCCCAAACACACTGTCATGGAGTTGATTCCAACTGACAGCAGGGTTTTGTAGGCTTTCCATCTTTACAGGAGCCGCCAGCCTCACCGTGGGCCTGTGGAGCAGCTGGTGGGTGTGACTGGATGGCCCTGACCTTACGGTTTGCAGTCTCATGATCAGCGGACAGCTCCCCCAGGGCTCCTGGCTGAAGCATCTAGTGGAGTCTCACGATTTTGTTGGGAATAGCAGGACTGGTAAAGGGTCGGACAACGGACACTGCCTCGGGGCAGAAGCCTCTAAGGGCTGCGTCCTGTTTAGCTGTCAGGCTCCTGGTGTCAGCCAGCTGCAGAACCAGCCTGCTTACCTGGCTGGAGCCTCACTGCTGGTCCTCGACTTTTGTTCCCTCCTCTGCCAGAAGTAGACTTGTTTTAATCATTTTACTGGGAGCTTTACTGTTTAATCACTTACTTTTCTAAAATGTTATTTTTCCTATCAAAGGATAAAAATATGTTTAATTAGAAATTAGACCTTATCTTTTTCTCTTTTTAATCTCGTAGAAAGTTTCTATTTTTTATCTAGAAACAAGCAAGAGTAATAATTATAAAGCAGATCACCTCCTCCAGGCCAGCTGTATCTCGAGATGCTATCTAAAAGCCACAGGCAGGAAGGGATCTGTGTCCACAAGGCCTGGAGCAAGCGTCAGCACAGGAGTTACACCCATGTGCAGACAATGAAAATAATGTATGTAAAGAGACTGGTATACCACACTTCATTTAAATACAAAAAGTGTAACGGTCACCCAGTGCCCTGCTCTCCCTGTGCACCCCACCCTACTCCTGCTGAATAAGCAAGTTGTGTCTCCACCTTCTTCACAGGCTGATGTTCTCTGCTTGGCCTCTGCCTTTTCATTCCAATAAATTGTTTCCTACAGAAGGAGAGAAGCAGCAAGTGAGGTACTTGAGGGCCCTCTGGTGCTGGCATTCCTGAGCTGTGACAGAATCTCTGTTGGTTACAGTTTTAGCCCAGACTAGAATTTCTAGGGTTTATCTGTTTTCTGTAGAAGATGAAGTTAAGACGCTGACATTTAAATCCAGGACACTATTTCCGCCCCTCCAAAAATTTAATGTATAACTGTAAGTTAACTGAAGGGACCTTTCTCAAATGAAACAAGATGACGGAGTTGGAACAGTCACGGAGAAAGGCAGCCCACAGCCTCTTCCTGGAACAATCCTGTCAAGCTCCTGCTGCTCCAGTGTGAGCAGTTTCTGGGCAACTGAGTGTGGATGACCTCCCAACACTCCAGACAGAGCCCAGCGAGACGAGAGACAGCTGAACAAGGAAGTCATCCAAAGGAAGTCATCCCGTGACTCTGGGAACTGCCGAGGTGCACCGAAGAACCAGAGCTATGGATGAAAGCCATTTGGGCACGGTGACCGAGGGGATGGGCAAAGAGTTCAACTGGATAAGGAAAGGACTCCCCAAAGGATAGCATGAGGAGACTGGTTCGTGTTTAAATGGGTGAAGGGTTAAAGAAAACGCTGGGAAAAAGGAAGAGAAACTCAGGTAGATAGAACATTGCAATCAACCAGGGCAGGGAGGTGTCAAAGTGTGAAGAACTTCAGCATGAAATGGCTGCATCACCAGATCTCCACATTAATGTCCACCCATCCTTCCCTTGCCTTTTGTCAACTCCACCAGCAACAAGAGTGAGCCTGTCTGTCTCACAGTTAAGACAGGAAGACTGCCCTGCAACGGGACTTAGACAACCACTTACCTTTGACTTCCCGTCTCTTGAAGGTAAGGTGGAAGGCCTGGCAGTGGCAGCAGCAGGGCGTTTGGGCGGGGCAGCGGCTACTGAACCTGAAGCAAGGCTCATGGGTTTTTTATTCGGCCCACCAAGGGTGGTGGGAGCTGGCTGCTTAGGGCTAGAAGTGGACTGTGGTTTGGCTTTCGAAGTTGAAGTCTTTGCAGGTTGAGTGGTGGCCAAAGGCTTTAGGGTTGATTTGATGTTTTGTTTTTTATTTTTTTAAAGGCCAACATTAAACACAGACAAGAATAAAAACAAATGAAAAAAAATGTATAAATTGCATAATTCAAAGAAAAAAATACAAGCAATGAGGATAGATGCAACTAAAAATTAGCATTTCTTTCTTCTGAGTTCAGTAAATGGTGGGATTAAATCAAGATATTTAGAAATGTTTTTTTAATAACAGTGACCCTGGAATGGAAGGTTGGCAGCTGAAGATTTAAATTCTGTGATAGCTTTAAAAGTTTAAACTTTTGGTGGCTGTAATAAATTTAAAAAAAAACACCCCCTCACCACCACCCCCAATCAGCAGATGCTGCTGCTATAATGACCTGCACCTCCATGGGGCAACAGGAATGTCCTGTTTCAAGACCACATGAAGGTGTGACCTCGGGCAGAGTCTTCAGTCAGTACAAATATTAAGCTATGATCCATCCTGAAGACCCGTCTTCCCTTTTCATGCACTTGGATTTCAGACTCTATTTCTGAACGGTCTTTCAATCACTTAATTTCACCTTGTTAAGGGAAGTAAGACACAACCCTTATAGAACATTTTGACATGTACTCCAGGTGAGGAGATCAAAGGCAGAGGTTGGAAGGTTTGGATTAAGGCACTGTGGTAAAACAAGAATACAGAATATTTTCTAAGCATGTACAAATTTGAGATAGGGCTCATAGCAGCTCAGAAAAAAGAAATCTCAATATTCACGATTGAAGCAATAGCAAAAGATACTACATCTAAAAAAATCACAGCGGTAGAAGATGCCGCACCATCCTGGTACCTACCTTTGTTTTCTTCTCTGGGCTTGGTGGGAGCTCCTTATTTGGAGGGGTGGTGATGTCATTTCCAGTCACACTCACGGTCGGCCGTCCTTCTTCTGGCTTGGCTACTCCAAAAAGGCGAAAGGGTAGAAATTATGCTCAGCAAACGTCTTTCACACCCAGTTAGAACATGCAAGCCTAGTGGAGACACACCACGAACTAGCATTGCATTCTGGAAGAAGCCTACAGTGCTTCTGCCACTGAAGTGTGGACAAGCCTCTCAAGTTCTCCTCATTGTGAAAGAGAACAGTTGTAGACTCCAGAGATCAGGGAGTCAGTCCCCGTGGAGAAGTCACTGCAGTGGAGTCTCTACAAATGGTCAATGGAATAAAATGGCTCTTGAACTCTGGATTCCAATCTCTAGAGCCCAGCAAAGAGGCTTTTGTCACCCAATCACTAGCTGGAACATACAGGGGACAAAGATCTCTTCTACTGGAGCCTATCTCATGGAATAAAGGTTGCTGAAAGGTGGGGTGGGAGCTAGGAGATCATCCAATGTCCTACCTGCACTTCCTTTCCCTGTGAAGCTCCATTCTATGAAGGCTGCAAGATTACCTCGACCCAGTTCTAACAGTGACCCAGATTCCCAACAAGGCCGAGGAGGATCCACGGAGCACAGCAGCCACCAAGGGCCAAAACTAAAGTCCCAACTCCACACTCCCTTCCTCCAAAACCACAAGAAACGTTAAAGGACAAATCACACACACACACACACACACACACAGACGACACTGAAACTCCTATCAAAGACAAATTTATATAAAAATTATGTAAATAAATGCCCAAAACCAATCATTACAAAGGTCAGCAACCCACTAGAAAAATGGTCAGAATATTTTGAACTAAGAAGGATCCCTAATCTTAAGTAGGAGAAAGGAAAATGAAAACCATAGTGAAATGTTACTTTTGACCTATATTTTATCAAAATCCCTGACGTCTAAAACTAATCGTTAGAGACAACTGATAGGACCCATAGGCAAAGCAGTCTGGTGGCAATGAAAAAAATTACTAGTGCAGATAAAACTCAATCCAGAGACCCAGCTTCTAGAAGTATAAAAAAATATTGGTGACAAGTCTGTACTTTCTAAATTTTGTAATCTGGCAAGTCATGTGTATTAAAAAATTCCAAATTGAAAGTGTCAACTACATTTAAACGTAAGTATATAAAGTGTTCTCTACTATTTAGAATCTATTACTGTTATTAATAATAACGACCTATATGTGTCATAAAAACTGATAAAACCTTGAGAAAAATTATGTGTGGTCATCACTCTTTGTACACAATACCAGATACAAATCTGAGTGTGAAATTACCTCATTCCTCCCAAATTCTCTTCTTCACTGTATGGTTCTCAAGAAGGCCTTTCCCAATAACAGAAGAAAAGTGCTTTGGGAGAAATACTTATCGGAAGACCAAGCTCTGTACCCGCAGTATCACACATGTATAATTTTACAGAAAATGCTCGTCTTTTTTTTTAAAAGGTGGTGTTTTATTTTTCCCTCCTCCTCTTCTCTCTCCATTCCTCTAACCATCCAAGTCTGCTTCTTTTGGTATATGAACATCTTTTATCTTAATTCTTTATGCGATTGACTAACTTCACTCAGCATAGTATCTTCTCAATCTATCCATGTTATGAAGTGTTGAACAATTTCATCATGCTTCTTCACTGATGTGCTGCAGTCCACTGCATGTATGTACCAAGGTTGATGTAGCCATTCCTCCACGGAGAGGGAGGGAGGTTGTTCCCAACTTCTTGCTAGTGTGACCAGTGTTGAGAGAAACATGAGTGCACATACATCAGCTCCTGTTTTTAAAAAATTTAACTTATTATTCATTGGGTTTTAATACATACTTATATTCCAGAGTTCAATCACATCAAGTAGAGTTGTATAATCCACTCCCTCACGGAACTCTTGATTCTGCTTGCTGTGCCTACAGGTTCACCAGTCCTGGGTTTCATCTACCAACACGCAGAAAGCCTCTCACACAACTTCAAGAAGGTGACCTCTGAGATACACCTTAATACAAACAGACCAAAACGAAACCAAACAATGCAAACCCAAAGCAGAGACAATTCTGGAAACCACATCAGGTCCAGCCTGCATCATTTGTGGGGGGAGATACACTGACCCAAGTTTTAACTGTTCCATCACATTGATGCCTTTGCTCTTCTATACTACTTCTTCCCAGGTGCTCTGTTTGGTGACCACTTCCTCCCTCAGCCCCTGCTTGCTCCTTCTTTCTTTAGAGTATGCACCGAGTGGAGAGACTGTGGGGTCATGGAGTGCTTCTCTGAGGAAGTGCCCTGCAACTTTCCATACAGAGGTTGTACAGTTTTATAGTCTTTATTTGCTCCACCTGAAAAGGATGTGCACTCTGTTGCTATTGGATAAAGTACTCTAAAAATGTCAATGAAATGTTTGATGGTGGTGTTAAATATTTAAACATTTTTAACTAGTATTTAGGCTAGTAAAACAACAACAACAAAAAAACCCCACACACCCAGAACCAATTTACTGCCACCAAGTCATTTCCAGCTCATAGTAACTGTCTAAGACAGGGTAGAAGCGGCCCTGTGGATTTTCCAGACTATTACAATCTTTCTGGTCCTTCTCCTGGGGGAGTTGGGTTTGAGCAGCCCGGAGCGTGACCACTCCAGGAGTTGGGTTATTCCTATTTAGTGCAGTAATTCCAACAATTGTTGCGTGGGGGGTACAAGTCACAAACTGTAATTGTAAATTTATCTATTTCTCTTTAGCTCTTTCAGCTTTTGATTATTGAACTCGAGGCTCTTTGGCATACAGACTTAGCATCTGAAAGACTGCTTGACAGAGTAACCCTTTATGTCTTGTTCTGATATTTGTCTGTTTTCTCTAATAGTAATATAACTACTGCTACCTTTAAAGAACCAATGTTAACATATACTTTCTTCATGTGTTTATACATTCACATTAACTATGACTTCTGTTTACCCTGCTTATCCTCTAGTTTAAAACTACAACGTCTTCAGTATTTCCTCTTCCTACATATGCTTAGTATGTCAGCCGGTGCTTTCATTTTTGCCCTGATCATCAAAAACAATTGAAGATAGAACGGTGTTCCTTGTTGATGGCTGGTTCTGACTCACAGGGACCCCATGTACAAGAGGAAAACACTGTCTGCTTGTTTCTGCACCATCCCACAACTGGTGTCATGTGGAAAAGCCGATGGCTGCAGTCAGTCACTGTGTCAGTTCACTTTGCTCAAGGTCTTCCCCTTTTCACGGACTCCCTATTTTGCAAGCATGATATCCCTTTCCAGGGACAGGGCCCACATGGGTGAGCCAGCCTCATTCTGAGAAGCATGCTGGCTAGACTTCTTCCAACAGCAATTAGTTGTTTTGGAGGGGTTGGTAATTTTAATATTTTTTGTCAATACCATAAACTCAAATGCATCCATTCTTTTTTGGTCTCTCTTATTCAGTGCGGCTCTGAACAAAAACGTTAGACATTTTGTTTCTGTCTTTTTTTCATACTGTTGTTTAGATTGAGTGAACTCTATTAATCCTGTCCTCAAGTTTACTGATTCTATCCTCTACTACTGAACCTATCCAATGGGTTTATTTTGATTATAATTTTGACATCTATAATTTCCATTGTTATTTTTCATAACTTCTATATCCTTGCTAAGATGTACTACTTTTTCATGTTTGAAATCATTATTGCTGGTTGAAGCAATTTTATGATGGCTGCTTTAAAAATTCTTTTCACATAATTCCATTTTATGTCTCCTCTCAACATTGACACCGATAGTTTTTTTCTTACTCAAGTTGTGATTTTCCTGGTTCTTGGTATGACTAGTGATTTTTTGGAGATTTAAAAAATTGTATTCTGCACATTTTGAATATTAGCATAAGAGACACTTGATCCCATTATTTTAATTATGGGCCGCCATTCTTATGAGCTGCAGATCCAAGGATCCAAGGGCCCTCATTTCTAGAGCACAAGCAATGCAATTCTGGTCTTCTGCGTGTTCTTCTGATGGGGCTCTCACACATTTCTTGCTGGTGGTTGCCCGCAAGGTCTAACAGCACTTCCCCAGGGACACTGCACATCTCTAGGTAGGTGCTAGGCTCATCGGATGGAGAGCATTTCCCTTGGCTTGTTCTCTAATCACCTTCCACAGTACTGGTAAGACTTCCTGCTTGATTTCTGCTACTGCTATTAGAGGAAGGAAGTGCATACCCGAGCCAGCTCCAGCATAGCGGTGTGTGGGATGTTAAGAAATAGGAGGGCTGGGCATCCTACCACTGGGTAGAAGGCGAGGAGACACCAGGACTTCAAGTGCCACTAGTGAGACCTGAGGAGTCCCGGTCACACGGCGATTAAGTGCTTGGCTGCTAACGGAAAGGTCGGCAGTTTATTCACCAGCAGTTCCACGGGAACAAGATGGCAGTCTGCTTCTGGTAAGATTTACGGCCTCGGAAACCTTTCAGGACATTTCTACTCTGTCCCCCTGAGTTGGAATAGACTGACAACTGGTTTACTGTTAAATGCTGCTACCTGCCACCTCGTAAGGGGGCAGAGAATGGGTCTCCCTGGGGTTGATACTAGAGTGGGCAGATTGGCATAGCAGCAGCTTTGATGTGTGAAGTGAGCAAAGGATAAGATCCACTACTACGCTGGGTATGGGTTGGGGAATAGGGTTCCCCTTTCTTGGCCCTTTAGGTCAGCAAGAATAGGCTTTTGTTTTATTTTAGGTCTCTACTTGCTGACAAGGAACCCTGGTACCACAGTGGTTATGAGTTGGGCTGCTAATCACAAGGTCAGTTGTTCAAAACCACCAGTCAGAAGATGGAACTTTCTACTCTTGTAAAGAGTTACAGTCTTGTAAAGAGTTGCAGAATTTTATACTTGCTGGCAATTGCCGTTTGTAGGGTTCTCTAGTGCCCAGCCTGGTGGATATCCATGCAAGATTAAAATAAAACCCATGGAATTCCCCACACTGCTGTTCCTTTAAGTCCTGAGGTCTCTGGCCCATGTTTCTTTCCACTTTTCAGCAACTCTCTCTGTGTCTCACCCCTGTGTCTCACCTCACATCTAATCAGTTTTCAAGTGTGACTGACTATAGGGCTCTTTTGTGCCCAGCCTGGTTGGTATACACATGGGGATACAACAACACTGACACTTATTTGTATAGGACAGTTCTGCTCTGTCCTACAGGGTCTCTATTGAGAGGGGAACTGAATCGTTGGCAGGGAGTTTGGTCTATCATGTCCTCCATGTTTCCCCTGCCACTACCTGAATCAAACTGTCTTAACAAGACCTTAGGACTTTAATCAGAGACTGTCTCATAGTTCATCTTGCTACTGAGCACAGACAGGTGAGCCTTCCCAAACACTTCAGGCCTCTTTATTTGGGAGATTATCATAGGCAGTCAAGCATAGTTCTTGAACATGGGAGTACAATTTAAATTTCTTAGTGGGTCATTTTAAGTGCAGCAAAATTAGGTTCTCAACAACTTTCCAGAATTCCCTCCCATTATTTCTTGCCACATACATACAGCTGGCTTTGACATGTTTGTTCAGTCTGTGTGCTCTTCTTCAGACCCACCCACTGCCATCCAGTATTTGCTGGCTCACAGAGGCCCTTTGTATAGCTTCCAAGATGCCAAACTTTACGAGGGCAGATAGTCACAATTTTCTTTCTCTGAGCAGCTGGGGTTTGAGTCCACCTTGCGGTTGGCAGTTCAAGGTACCCAGCAGTGCCACAAGGGCTCCTTGCCCTTCTCTGTAGACACTTCTTAACCAAGAAGCCTGTGGTACCTGGCATACAGTTAACTGTACTAAGGTGGCCAACTGAACCAACTGGGGTCACAAAACAAACCCCCCAGTGCCAACGGTTCCATCAGATCCATGTAGGGTCTGAGTCTGTGCATCTTCACAGAAGCACACAGCCTCATCGTTCTCCCCGGGGCTGGCTGGGGGTCTGACGACTAACCGTATGGTTAGCAGCCCAAGGCTCACTTGACAGCACCGCTGCTTGCTCTCCTTTCAATGGCGGCAGAGAAAGGGCAGGAAACCACTTTGGAACCCCGAGCGCTAAGGCATCATAAATACGGCCACCCCTTGTCTGTACAGAGGAGGCGAGATGGTAGAGTTCGGGAAAGGATGGGACTAGAGCACGTGTACAGTGAAAAGCACGGGGACACAATAGCTGCATCCTGGGTCCCCTCCTTGCCATCACAGTCCTCAGATTGTTCCACGGCTTGTCAATAAATTCCTTTTTATGAATTCCCAAGGGTGTTTCTTTTCCCTGCTATTAAATGATTCCATAAAAAGGACCCCAAACACCAGTCACTGTTCTTTTATGTAACACATGCTCCCTAAGCTTCATACCTTTGCTTACAGGAGTCCCTTGGCTGAAAGGCTTTCCCTCTGAGAAACTTAACTCATTGTTAGGTGCCTTGGTGTCCAAGGCCCAGCTCTAATGCCACCTCTTCCCCAAATGTCCATGATTAACAACCCCTCAGCCCCACCCTAGGGTGTCACGGATAGCCATTAACTCTCGATATTTATTTATTTATATGCCACACCAAAGAGACCTTAAGTAGCTTGAGAACAAAGAGAATTCCCGGTGTCCAGATAAAGGACTGAGGAGCTCTGGTGGCGCTGTGGGTTCCGTGTTGAGAACTGACACGTCAGGGGTTCAGACCCGTCAGCCAATTCACAGGAGGAAGACTAAGCTGTCAGTTCCCAAGAGGATTTGCAATCTCGGGAGCCCCCAGAAGCAGTCCGACTCTGTCCTGAAGGTTGCTGTGAGTCGGAACCGACCTGACAGCAGCAGGTTTGGTTTTCTAGTTAGATACGTGGCTAGCATATGACCACACACACTTAAAAATGACCCATTTAATGAACGACTGTGTCTTGTTATGTACACAGTGTTAGGCAGAGTCGGCACTGAAATTTTGATCTGCTAAGTGGATCAGTCATTGGAAGGTTTTTCCTATTTGCGTGAATGGCAGGTACAGTTCTGAAATAAAAGGACAAAAGCATTCACTCATTTCCTCTCGCAGGCATTCACACCTCACAGGGCACCTGGTGATCAGTACAGAGATGATGCAATCCCGCCACAAACAGTTTACGGATCTTGCCACAGTGAGAAGCAAGGACAGCACACAGAGGCCTCCTGAATCAGAGAGGGACCACGAAGCTTCTCCTTCCCTGTCTAGATCAGTTATAAAGCAAACCAGGTTCCACCACCACCCTCCTCTAGAAAATACAGCCTCTGAAGGGAAAAAAGTGAAAATGTCATGGAAGTATACTAAGAGAAGTGAAAGATGAAACAGGTCAATAAAAAAACCAAGCCCAAACCCAAATTCCAGCAAAGCACACTCTTTTAAGTGCTCACAAACAAGCTGGGGCATCGTGGCCCTTTGTGCTCACATAGGACTGGGAAGAGCCAACAAGCTGTTTTTGGACCACCCACAGGAGACCTGAATGATGGGGGAGGGGAGAGAAAGGAGGGCCAAGAAGAAAGACCCAGAGGCAGCCACAGACTACAGCATTCAGCTGTTACTCCGTGCAAGTCTCTCCTCCTCCACCTCCTCTCTCCTTTCCCTCGCCTCCCCCGCCACACAAGTCCTCTCAACAAGGAGAAGGAGGAGGAGAAAACAAGACTCAAGATCGGGTCAAACACGAGGAACAGGCAAAGAATATTAAACAGCTCGGCCCCACAAGGCTCTTTTTCATCACGAACAAAAGCAAACGGAAAACAGAGCTTACACCCAGACTACTATTTAATGAGAGGAGGTCAGAGCTGATAAAACCATTGTGAAGCTACACAAAGTGACAGGTTTTTCCAGCGAGGACATCAATCAGTTGTGATTGGATGATTTAGAGCTCAGGAATCATCTGGTTCAAACCATCAGGGAGCTGAGGGGTGAGAGGAAGGGGAAGGGGTGGGCAGGGTGACACGGGGTCAAGTGAAGGGCTCTATTTTTTATGCCCGCCCCCTCCCTCGGCCTCATCGCCCCTGACCCCCTCAGCACACATCTTCAGTGTACACGGTCAGGCCAGCACACATTCACTTTGTTCTCTTTCCTGTCTTGCTCCCAGCCACCCTCCAGAGCAAGGAGGCCACGCTGTCCCCAGGCAGTCACAGAGCCCAGCAATAGCAGGCTGCCACAGGCTTCCGCCTGGAACCCATCACTTTGGTTCCTTCCGTGCTGTGTGCCTGTTCCCCGTGGAGGCAAAATGTAGAAACATACCATCACGTGGGGCCTCTTCACACAAGAGCGACGGAGTGCTCTGGGTCGCACTGCCCTCGATCTCTTTCTTCCCTGCTAGAGCGGTTGCTGCTGGCTGTTTCTCATCTCCCTGGCAGGCCTGCGAGCGCGGATCATCAGTTCTTGCTGCACTAACATCATCTCGGGTCTGCCCCTTGCTGCTTCCTTCAGGAATCTGTTCCAACTTACTGTGGAGGTGTAGCCCGGCAGGGCCTGCTGCTTTCTCCCCAGAGCTGCTGCTGCTGCTCAAGTTGGTCAGTTCTTCTCTCTTCTCGGCCACTGGTTCTTCACAGATGAAAGGGGGTATCTCTTTAACAGAGAGGACGGGCAGCTCCCCGGGGTCCAGTGTGCAGTTGGGTGTCTGCTCCTCAGCCACTGTCATGGAGCGCCTCATTGCAGAAGCCCCCGATTTCCTGGGTGTAGCATTAGGTATTGGGCTACTGGTGGGGGGCAGCAGGCCGGAAGATAGCTCTTCTCTGGCAGGGAGTTCAGGGTACTTATCTGCAAGGTTAACAGCTGGGGGAACTGAGAGGTGAGAACATTCAGACAGGGCCCTGCGTATTGCCTTCTTCTGCTGGGGGGCTTGGCCGAGCAAAGCCCCCTCCTCTGTAGAACTCACTTTCTCCATTTCCTTATCATGGTCTCTGGAATGAGAACTTGCATTCAAACGCTCCTGTGCGAACTCCACCATAGTGATGGGGGGGATGCCAGGAGGGGAATGCTCGATAGTGGGGGCTACGTGGGGCCCAGCCTCTGTCAGTGGGGACTCACAGTCAGCCAGCCCAAAGTGCTCTTTCATGACTCCAATCGCCGGGCAGCCAGGGCTAATGCCATCCTTCTTCTTCCCTGGAGCTGTTTCCCCCTGAGGACCTGGAGCCACTGAATGGAAATTGGGGTTCCAAACACTGGTTTCTTGCTCCTTCACAGAGTCGAAGGGGCCATCAGAAGCCCCTGGGAAATCCGGGTCTGGCCGGCTTTTGGTGTCTATCCTGTTTCCCCCAGTTATCTTCCCTTGAACTGTGGCTTTGTTTGTGTCTGACCCCTGTGTGGGTCCCAGATGGGACTCAGCTGTCTCCGAACGCGCTGGAGTCCCCTCCGAGGGCGAGCATTTGTCTGAAATCACACAGCCGCTCTCAAGGTGACCGGGGGTGGGGTGGTACTCCTTGTCCTGCACTTCGGTGCCCAGTCCTTTGTCTGGCTTCCCCTCAGAGCAGCATCGCCTCTTCGGCTCCAGGAAGCCGGCGTTTCTCACGAGCCCATCTCCCAGCTGCCTGTCCACGCTGACACTCAGTCCGATCTCATTCAGCTTGCCCTCTGTCCTCTGCCACTCAAATCCGGCTGGACTGAATTCTTTTGGGGAGTCCATTTGGCACTCGGCAGGCTTGCCTTTACACAGCTGGCTGTATGTGGTGGTGAGAGAGGCTGGCTGCTTGTCGGAGAGCGACATCACCCGACTCTTTCCCTCGCTGCTCTCCCTCGCGCTCCTGGAGCTCTACCACCACCTCTGATCACACGGAGCTTGCAGTGACATCACACCAAGTCCCCAGTATTGATGACAACACTGCTCTTTCCCCCAATCCCTCTCTCGCCTCCAGCAGCTGGGAGCTGAGTGTGATTTATGAGCGTGAAGGAGATGGAGAGAGAGAGAGAAAGGAACCTGCTGCTGCTTTCTGCACAACGAAATGCCACAGTGAAAAGGAAAATGCCACTTCCTGTTAATGAGCCCTCTGTTGAGATCTGCATTTTCAATTCAGGCGCCGAGGATAGTAATTAGGCTGGCTTTCACTGACACAGACACATGGGGAACCCACCCGTTCACTTAGTTCACTGATTTGATACTCTGCCCACACTTCCCTACTCACCCACTCAAACACCAGTTTAAACAAGCAAGACTCACTTGCCAATCTCCAGCCATAACCCATAAAGAACAATGATTCCAGAAAATAGCTCTAAGTTTCACTTAATGAGAAAACCACCTTAATAGAATATCAAAACTGGAGGCACTCCCTTCTCAGAGGAAGCGTGGGTCTGCTGTCATAGCAACTCATCAAACTCCACTTGAAAAGTGAGCTGGGTGGGGCTTGAAGGCCCAGGGAGAGCTCCGTCTAGATTTATTTATCTGCATTGTGGGAAGTTTTGATGGAGGGTGTTCATTTAAAGGTTTCAGTGATCTGTGGGCTAGACCGGAGCATGTGCACAGCTATAGCTAAGAGATAAGAGCCCATGATACACAGAATCCAGGAACAGGAATGGGAGTAGTGATACTAAAAGGGTAGGGGGAAGGTGGGGAAAGGAGGGAAGGGGGGATGGATCTCGATGATTGACACATAAACACACACACACAAACAACCCCCCCCCAGGGGGATGAATAACAGAAACCGTGGGGGAAGGGAGACAGCAGTCCATATAAGATATGAAAAAATAATTTATAATCTATCGAGGGGTCAAGAGGGTGGGGGTGGGGAAGGAGGGTAAAAAGAGGAGCTGATACCAAGGGCTCAATAGAAAGTAATGCCTACAAAATAATGATGGCAACATATGTATAGATACGCTTCAAACAAATGTTGTATGAGTTGTTATAAGAGCTGTAAGAGCCCCCAAGAAAATGATCCTTTAATGATAAGTAAATAAACCAAGGTTTCAGTGATCAAGGCTCAGGGAACAAGACACTTGTTGGACAACACATCCATCCCACTGTGACACCGGCGCCTGGTCCCCCTTGGTTCCTAAGGCAATCTGGGCCACTCCCCCTCCTGCCGCCCAGCACTGGCGGAGCAGATCATCTTCCTCTCCGTTGTTCTGGAACTTCAAGGCTTGGGCAATCTGTGTCTTGGACTTGACCACCCAGCAGAGCATCTACCCCATGTAACACTGCCTGGTCCTTAGCGCCCTGGGCTTCCATCCAGCAAACTACATTCACGCGCCAGGAATCCATAGGAAAAGTGCCTGGGGTGGGGTGGGGGTGACTTCAGTTTAGGAACTGGTCACACTGGACCAGGAAGACAGAGGGTTTTTGAGGCCTATTCTAGCCTTTAAGTCACCAACAACGGTTAGCAGCCGAGGTGAACTTTAAAAAAATAAGCTCCTTGTCATCAAGTGCACCTAGTTGGCTGCAGTTTTTTAATAATGTGTTTGGGGGGGGGGGAATTAATCAAGATTTTCCCATGTTTGGTTTATAAATTGTGAAGAGACGACCAAGCCCCACTCAGGAAAGGTTACCCACTAAGGCCTCTGTGCCCAAGCACTTGCCCCTATCACAGTGCTCTTATCACTTGCACCCTTTACTCAAATCCTCAACTGGAGCGCCGGGCAAACCTTAAGACGCCTTTTGCAGTAACTCCACAGTACACGTGGACACGCTCATGGGCAGTGCTGTGATGTTGAACAAAGTGTGACTTCAGTTTAATCTCCGTCTTGAAAGTAAACTGAGCCTCATATACATGTCTCCTTCCTCTTGACCTCAGGAGGTGTGCAGTAATGCACGCTAAAGCACTGATAAACACCCCTTTGTCAAAGAGTAATTTATGGCGAAGGGCAGGGCGGAAGTGAGGCTATCTAAAAAATAAAGGAGGTGTGTACACAGGTCACGATTATCATTAGTAATGGGAAACAGTAAGACTGAGTACAGTCTTCAAATAAAAGTGCCATTTTGACTTTCTTACGCTTTTTTTACACGTATTTTTAACAGACTAACACGTGATGAAAGTGGGGGTATAGGAGGTTGTGGTGCAGTATGATGACGCCAGAGCAAAACTTATGAATCAGGTAATTTCAACAATGCCATCCACTAAAAACTGACCATATCTTCCCAAACACACATACACCTACCTCAATTCATTGATACTTTTGCTCTTTGGTTGGTGGTGGGGGTGGGGTGGGGGAGGGGAGTAAAACTAGACTGAGTCAGATGATGAGATTGTGTTCAAGTTTTAATACTTATATCTCAATAAAAAAGGTTCAAGCATGCATTTAAGGAATTGCAGGCCTGTTGCAATGTCCAACTCAAAAAACAGTTTTAACTTGGGCCTCAGGGACCAGTATGTTCAGTAAGTCCTGCCGTTTCATAAATTGTTCCTTAAAGTCAAATGATTTTTAATTGCAGCCAGCCTTGCCACACTCTCCATCATCACCTTCTCCATTAAAAAAAGTCTCAGGCAATAATTAGAACTTTAAGTCTTGGCTACTAAATGTGGTGAAGAAAGCTGATGGTGCCCGGCTATCAAAAGATATAGCATTTGGGGGTCTTAAAGGCTTGAAGGTAAACAAGCAGCCATCTAGCTGAGAAGCAACAAAGCCCACATGTAACAAAGGCACCAGCCTGAGAAGTCTAAGGGATCAGGTATCAGACATCAAAGACCCAGAACAGAAAACCCCATCAATGTGAATGAGGGGGAGAGCGGAGTGAATACCCAAAGCCCATCTGTAGACAATTGGACATGCGCTTACAGAAGGGTCGCAGGGAGGAGATGAGCAAGTCGGTGCAGTATAGCACCAATGAAACATACAACTTTTCTCTAGTTCTTTAATGCTCTTCCCCCACCCCCCTCCCCACTATCATGATCATGATACAAATCGGGCTAGACCAGAGCATGTACATAGGTACAGATAAGAGTTGGAAACACAGGGAATCCAGGACAGATAAACCCCTCAGGACCAACAATTAGAATAGGGATACCAGGAGGGTAAGGGGAAGGTGGGGAAAGAAAAGGGGGAACCGATCACAAGATCACAATGATCTACATATAATCCCCTCCCTGGGGGATGGACAACAGAAAAGTGGGTGCAGGGAGACATAGGTCAGTGTAAGACATGAAAAAATAATAACTTATAAATTATCAAGTGTTTGTGAGGGAGGGAGGGTGGTGTCGGAAGGGGGAAAAAGGGGGAAGCTGATAACAAGGGCTCAAGTAGAAAGAAAATGTTTTTAAAATGATGATGGCAACAAATATACAAATGTGCTTGACACAATGGATGGATGGATTGTGATAAGAGCTGGCTGAGCTCCCAATAAAATGATTTAAAAAAAAGAAAGAAAGTCTTGACTACTTTTAATTCCCATATACAAAATAAAAAAAAAAAATGAAACAAAAGCCCCCTCCCTGACTTAGGAACTGTCATCTACTCACAGTGACCCGACAGAACAGAGTAGAGTGTCTCAGAGGGTTTTCAAGGCGGTGGCATCTTTGTGGGAACAGCGCGCCTCATCATTTCCTGTAGAGCAGCGCACCAGCCAAATTAACGAACCAAACTAAAAACAAGAAGCTGATACCAAGGGCTCAAGTAGAAAGAAAATGTTTTGAAAATGGCCAAAAGGCCAGGAGCAGCAACCAGGGCAATGAAGCAAGCTGGTTACAATGGAGCCTGTACTCCAGATCATATTTCAAACACACTACTGATTAAAATATGGTCAATCTGAGGGAAGATAATGATGGGGTTAGCACCGGGCTACTAAGCCAAGCACAGATCTCAAGAGACCTCAGAGCTACAAGATTCTACCATCAGAAAAGGAGTGGGGGTAGGTGGGGGGCGGGGTGGAGTGGAGGTGGGTTGTGGCCAAGAGAGTAAACTATAAACCCAGGGGGGAAACTCAGACTAGAGGTGAATGCCCAACACATCTTGTTTACCATATGCTCAGGTTTACACCCATGTTTGATGCTCACCCAGTGGTCTGACTGCAGTAGAAAAACATAAGGAGTTATAGGAATCTACCTCTCCTTTAAGTCTGATGATTCTCAGTCATCGAGCTGACACCAACTCATAGTGACCCTCTAGGACGGGGTAGAACGGCCTTGTGAGTTTCTGAGGCCTTAACTGTGCAACTTTCTCCTGCAGCGTGACAGGGGTTTCTGACTGCTGGCCCTGTGATTAGTAGCCCAACGTATGTGTAACCACGGCACCACCAGGACTCCCTCGGTCTGATTAGGGAAATGCAAATACAGCATTTAGAATGGCAAAACATGATTCTATGTGACGTAGATTTTATCACTCCCAGTTAGGGATTTAATATACTATGTGGGACCCTTCTGATATAAGAGGTCGGCAAAACAAATCTCTATAACCGACTGCAATGGATAATGAACAGAAAATAGAAAAAGAAAAACTCATTCTAATAATGTGAGGATTTCCTACCCCAAATCCTTTTTAGGACAAGGGTTACTTTTCATTAAAAACAGTGCTTCAAGGACAAGAATAATATGCAATGGGTAGAAGCCTGGAATGCCTCGAACCCAATCTCCTCCTTTTGCAGAGGAGCAAAAGGAAAGTGTGGTTTGCCTGAGTTCAGGGGTGAGTTAATGGAAAAAGCAGATATAAGATTCCGAGTCTCCAACCGCCAGCCCTCTCAAACCACTCAGCAAAAATTCACCTTAGCCGCTGATCCTTTTTATAATGTTTCTTTTTTGCTTAATGAAGAAAAGGACTTCAAGTTTCTATCTGCAATTATAATTTATCTTTTTTTGTGCTGTATTCAAATCCCCAAATGAATATACGGTGTGTTTGTGTGTGTGTGTGTGTGTGTGTGTGTGTGTGTGTGTGTGTGCTGGAAATGGGGATGGGGGGGAGAAGATCATGCTGAGATTGAATGTGTTGAGCCTAACTGTAGGTCCAAGAGGATGCTGGCCATTAAAAGATGCAAGCATTTTGAACTGGGAGGTGATAAGAAGAGAAAGGGCCAAGTGATCCAGTTCTAAGCCTTGTTTTATCTTGTAAATTTGAAAAGTGTTGAATCAATAGTCCTATTATCTGTAAGAAAATATAGTTATATTCTTACTCAGAAACAAAAGGAAAGTAAGAAACCACCTTCTGCTCAGACGCAAAGGAGTCCAGACTCAAACTCAGACCCACGGAGCCTAAAATTCTGTAGGCAAGGGACATTCCAAAAAGATGCCACCTCTCTAGGTGGGTTGAAGACACAGTCACCTTCTGTTTGTGTACTTCCATAGTCTATAGCTCACACTTCTATTACAGAACTTCTCCCACTAGAACTAAAGCTTCCATATGTATCTCTTCCCTCTGGGATCTCTGAGGAACAGAGAATGTATTTTAAGAATCTACTCCTAGAATGTAGGAGTTATCTTACTTAACTCAAGGCACTGCCACAGAGTTGGTTCCAACTCATAGCAACCCTGTCGGACAGGGTAGAACTGCCCGGGAGTAGAAAGCCTCTGTCGTTCTCCCAAGGAGCGAGCAGCTGGTGGTATTGTGCTGCTGGCCTTGCAGTTAGCACTAAGCCCAATGTGTAACCACTGTTAAATGAACTGAACCAACCAACATTAAGGATTTACATTGTTACTGAGTGTTCACTATGCAGAAGACCAATCTAGGCCACGCTTTTACGAAAATTACATCTTTTGTCTAACGCACTCAAATTGCCATCAGTTAAATAGATAAAAGACTGGCTCACTTCACTGGAAGCATCACAAGTGGAAATGAGTGTCCCTTTATAATTTTTAAGAAGTAAAGATATCGGCAAAGCTGAAAATCACAAGCTAAGACTAGAAGTTATTCTATCAATTGTTTTCTGGATGCTCTAGGCTACTGTCACCCAGAAGGGAAAAGTGGAAGGTGAGGAAGAGGGACAATGTCCTCTTAAAGAAGGAGAACGACACTGTTTGATATTTTTCAAAGAATATTTAGATGCTAGGGCTCAAATGAGGTGAATGGTAGGTAGCACTCACCACATAGGATTCTGTGAAGAATAAAATAGGTTAAGGCAGTGCTGAAGTAAGTTTCAATAAATGGTAGTTATATTTAGCCATCTGACATATAAGATTTCCTAGTAAATGTCATCAATATCCAGTTGGTAAAGAGATAAAAACCAAGCAAGTCAGATAAAGAGCGGGTGAGCGGGAGAAGACATTAGGAAAGCAACTTCACAAATGGCCCTAGAGTTAAGATACCACCAAATAAGTACCTCTCTCTCCAGTGTCAAATAGTAACAAGTTTTAAAATTACACAGCAAAACAAAAAAACCCACTTCATCTGCTGAACATATTTTATTTATGTACAAGGGCCCTTGAAACTGCTAGAATTTTGGGTTTATAAATTACTTCAAGTTTCACACCAAAACTTCCCACCATAAACCGACATTCCTGGCTGCTGGAAGGCAGTTGACGGGCTCAAGCAAATGGAGAAAGAAACGAAGCCAGATAAAAAGGAGACCAGCTCTCTCTCGGCAAAGCAAAGGGGGGACCTTCGTATTTTCAGGGGTCTGTGGTGTGGTGGGTTATCAAGTGGGCTGCTAACCGTAAGGTCGGCAGTCTGAACCCATCAGCTGTTCTGTGCGGGAAACATGAAGAGTTACGCCCTTGGAAACCCACAGGGGCACTCCTACTTTGTGCTCTGACTTGATGGCGGTGGGTTGCTGCTGCTAGGAGAACGTACGGGACACTGGTGGCACAGAGGGTAAGTGCCTGGCTGCTAACCAAAAGGCCAGTGGTTAGCACCCACCAGTCCTCTGTGGGGAAAAAAAAGACTTGGTAATTTGCTCCCACTTACAAAAAACCCTATGTGGCAGCTCTACCCTGTCAGTACAAGGTCACTAAGCATCTGAATGAACTTGACACACACAACACAAGCAGCCTGTCTCACTCACAGTAATGGACGTCCCAAGTGCACTGTCACTCCCAACTCTAGGTGCCAACACTTCCTTTGGGCTTCCCGCACAGCAAATAATGTGAAGCAACTGCAGAAATTACATCCGCTATGGACCACCCTTTCAAGCTTCCTGTCCCCCAAACACAGTCCCCACGGGAATTCCTTGCGGAGTAACCATCTTTTCTGATATACACTTAGACTTCCTGAAGTAGCTCATCAATCCTCCTTGCTAGATCAAAATGCTTTACCATGTGATGAAACCTCCTGCTGACGTTTCACTAATTTGAGACTGGCCTGGGAAACATCAGGAGAGCAAACAGTAAGAAATAGAGTCCTTTTCTATAAGACTAGCTAATGATAATTTGTGATTTAAAAAGTATCATTAGGTACCATATAATTATAAAGCACCATGCTGAGTACTCAAATATTTATTCATATACAAATAAACTGAACATAGGCTCTATCTTGAGAATTCCAATTCTAATTCAACCTCTGATTCACAAAAATGTCTATTTCTCTAGCTATCAAAGTGTTTCCATAGTGCCTAAGAAACAGACAACAAACTCCCTGCCATCAAGTTGATTCTGACTCGGAGCGATCCTATAGGACAGAGTAGAACTGTCCTTGTGAGAACTGTCTTTCTGAGACTGTATAACTCTTTACAGGAGAGGAAAGCTTTATCTTTCTCCCACAGAGAGGCTGGTGGTTTTGAACTGCTGACCACGCGATGAGCAGCCCAACGCGTAACCACTACACCACCAGGGCTACTTATTATTTTCCTGCTTTATGGTTTATATGCACGTTTTATACTGATAGGATTTCTAGCGTATGATGTTGTTGTTTGTTGTCACATGCCACAGAGTTGATTCTGACTCAGAGCTGCCCGCAGGGTTTTCTGGGCTAATCCTGGTACCTCACCAGGCCTTTTCCCATGGAACTGCCGAGTGGGTTCAAACTGCCAACCACTTCACCACTTCACTGTCTACTTTCAGGGCTCTTGGGTGGTGCTCACATGAATATATATGTACACACACATACATAAGACATTTACTACTTGTCAAGCACCATTTTTTTATTTTTAAGAATCTAAAAATCTCTGGAAGTTTCTTCTGAGGCCAAAGAGAGGAAAACATGGCTTTAAGGTTAGAAAGATTTGAGTTTCGATCTTAGCGCTAGTACTTCACTATCTGCATGACCTTAACTTTAAGAATCTCTCTATTTGCTCACCTGTGAAAGAGAGAGAGTCTTTATTACTACTGCAGTAAGGCTAGCATATACAAGGTGGCTTCAAAAAGCTGGTCAAAATTTCACTGATCTTTTAATTCTATTTTCCACGAACTTTTCTAAGTCCCTTCATATATTACATAGTTAAATTAAAATACAAACTGTAATTGGGGAGCTGATATCAGGGGCTCAAGTGGGAAGAGAATGCTTTGAAAGGGATGATGGCAGAATATGTGAAAATGTGCTTGACACACTGGATGAATGTATGGATTGTGATAAGAGATGTAAGAGCCCCCAGTAATAAAAGTACTTAAAAAAATACAAACCGTACCTACGAGTCAATCAACTGGTAACCAGGTACAGAACAGTTTGCTCAAATATTTAAAACAATGGATAACACCATCTGATCACAAGATAAATGAGGACAGGATATGTAGAATCATTGGCAATCTTGGGACAGGGGAATAGCATGAATAATTCAAAATAAGAAAAAACTTATTAAGAACAGCTCTCACATGAGTCATGGATGACCACCCAAGCAAATACATGACATGTTGGAGAATGGACACAAAGGTTGGCCTGTGCCCAGGCACCATTACAAAATCCTCACATGACCCCGTCCATTAGGTGGGAGCCTAATTTACTGTGAATTCTCATCTAGAAAATCAATGAAATACTGAAGGAAGACAAAGTGGTAAAATCACTCATTCACTGACAATGACTCGATCCCAACTCACAGTGACCTTGCACTACACTATCCAGTGATCAGAGAGTAGCACTCTTTTCTTTGTTTTGATATGGAAAGATCTCGTAGGTTTATGGTTGAGTCTAAAAGGCAAAGCATAGAGCAGCAGGTATATCTCTTTTGCTAAAAAGCATGTATGTCATTGCTTGTTTATGCATAAACTACTGTCTAGAAGGGTTAATAAAATACTGCTAACATTAATTATCTCTGGGCAGAGGAACCAGGACTGGGGTTGATGGAGGGGGAAGGACTGTGTAGTTTACTCTATACTCCTGTGTTTTTATTACTTATTTTAAAAATTAGTGGAAAATATTTTTAACTAATTTTTTTGAAAGTATGGATTGTCCTTAGAGAAAAAGGCTGTCTCAGACAAGTAGCAATCCATTTGGTCCTAAATTCTATCACCCACCGTTTACAATCTGCAGGGTCACACCTAAAGTGTAGTCTCAAGCCTGCACTGGCCAAAAACAAGGGGCCCCAAAGCTCTGCAGCACCTGCCTTGCTTCCTGATGAAGAGCACACCTTATGCGTTTCTTCGGAAATACCGAGCAAAAGAGATGGCTACGTTTTTACGAAGCTTCTGTGTTGACCTGTTGTATCACAGCTGACATAAAGGAAACTCGGTAACTGGTCAGAGATTTTTAACAGATGCTGAAAAGCCCTATACATACTATTTAATGGTTTGCCTTGACAAATAGGATAGCTAATAAAAGATAAAAACAGAAAAGATGAGAGTATCTTATGAAAATATTACTTTTTCTTATTCTCAATTACATTGTTGTATGTATTTCTTACTAGGTACAAATGCATGCACAGTGCAAGCTTCATCTGAAAGGAACAAGTCCATGCCATGCAGAACACAATCCCACGATCAAATCTCCCCCAAAGTCTGACCGGCTACCACAACCAATTGGTGCTTTTGTTCTTTCCAGAGTTAGTAGCGACGGCATGCAGCGGGGATAACAGTGATTAAGAAATAGTGTCATTTGTTGTCCGTGAAAAAGCTCCAAGGCCAGGAAGCGGATTCTCTGAAGGCTGGACCAGAGGAGGCCTGATTAAATGCATGCTTTTCAGGGAGGAATAAAAAAGGAGTCTTTCTAAATCTTACAGCAATCTTCTTAATCTCACCCAATTACTTGAATGCTTAGAGCCAAAAAGGGCCAAATAAAGAAGACTCCTCTAGATGGGCAAATTTTAGTATGTTTAATGGACAGGGGCTGTGTCCCAAAGTCTAACCCACAAGCAACCATGGGCCCAGGGCTGTAAGCAACCCACTGGTTCAAGGCTGCAGCTGTGTCACTGAGAAACCTTTTCCACCACACAAACACACAGCCTGTGCCTGCCACTGCTGCTCTGGGGCCACCACTGCCTCACAGCGGCCAGACCGGTCCCATTTACTCCCAAAGCAATCTGGGCACTTAAGCCCACCAGTGTGACCTCAATAGACACTTGGGGGAGGGGGACATCCCCAGAGGACAGCTAGATATGGAAATCTTTTCTTTCCTCCTGTGAATCCTTATTTCAAATGATCAGAACTTGCCTGGAAACTTTGCACAGAGGAGGCACAATGTCTTTTTACTTTACTAAGCATAGTTGGATTATGATGGGCCTTTTACTGAATATTTTACTGTTGAAATTTTACTTCACTTGAAACTCAAGGTTCAGTGCTAGGTAATAAAGTCATGCAACCAAGTCACCAGGCCCCTCCAGCTGGACACAAGGCATGCCTTGGTTACAGAAAACACGTCGTTAGTAGTCAGAGATTCCCATGCGAACAAACCCATGATTAAGAAGTATGATTAGAGTCTGAATGGAACCAAGGCATATGTTTTCTGCCACTCTGATGCTGACTCAAAAGCCACAAGCACACGCATTTCCCAGCAAGGGCTGGTTCATACCAGTTGACTTCTGCGGCTTGGATCGCTCTAGGTCCTGGATTGCAGACTTGGGCGGAAGGGGACTAAGTCCCCGGGACTTGGTAGGTCTCATGTAGCCTTTCATTGGTTCAGCCAGCCTGCTTTTCACTTCCTTCTTCCCTTCTCCCAATGCCATAGGTTCAGATATTGATGTTTTTTCCAGAGGTGACCCCAAAATCTCATCTTTGGGTTCTGGGAATTGAGGACTCGTGGGAGCAGTCACAACTAACTCATCTACCACTCCGGAAGGGGTAGGTGCAACTTTGCCCCTGAAGAAATCCGAGTGGAGGCCTGGTGTTGCCAAGGAAACACTTTCCAATTCTGTAATTTTACAAGCCAGACTAGTTTCTTTCGATGTATCCTTTTCACCTTCTGGGGCTGAAAGACTTATATGCACCCCCTTTTTCAAACTAACTGTGTCCTTGAAATCCCTACAGTCAGCATTTTGATCCTCAGGGCAACAGAGATTACGTATGTTGTCTCTCGGTAAATCAAGAGTTTGCACTGGAGTAGACTGGGACTCGGGTTTGTTTTTTTCTGTTTTCCCTGGATGTGCTGGGAAATCACTCCTACCTGCAGCTGGTTCAAGGCCTCTGGTATCTCCTGGCGGGCTGGGGCCCTCTTCTGGTGCTCTAGGGAGAAGGTGCCCCTCTGCTGGCTCTGTGGCTTTCTTGAATGAGTGATCAGAGGCACCACTTTGCACTGAGTCAGACTCTCTTACCACCTGCCCTCCATCTCTCCCTGCTTCGCTCTTCCTGGGCTCAGCACGCCCACCTTTATTTTTACAAAGGTGATCTGCTGGGAAAACTAGGGCAACTCCAGTGTCTGTGGAAGCAGAGGGGGCCTGAGGTCTTTCTTGGCCGTCTTTGCTGCAGATTTCCAGTACTCTGGAAATCTGGACTGGGACTGCTTCGTGTCCACTTTCAGTGCAGGTATTTGGGAAGGATTCCCTTTCCTTCCCTACTTGAGCAGCAGGCGCGGGCAGCTTTTTATAGGCTGACGATTCCACAGCCTCTACAGGGGTTGACTTACTTGCCAACCTTGGTGGTGTTCTGGGGCAGGTGAATGTAATATTTCTATTTTCGTCCACATAGCCCAGTCCTTCAATCCTGTGGTCCTCTGTGGTTTCCATGGGAACATGTATTTTTGTTGCATCTAGCTTATTCTCTTGAATGTGCTTCTCAGGAAAATTATTTTTAACCTTTTTACTTTTTCCATCGCTGCTCCTTTTATTCAGTTTGTCAGCCACTGCCGTGTGTCCCTTGGCTGCATCTGTCTTCCTCTCCTCAGTCGGTATTACAGGAACAAATCCTACCCCGTGGATTTGGTCTTGCGAGCTCACATCTATCACTATAGCTGCTGGTCCAGGAACAGCACAAGGCTTGGCTGTGCTTGTTTTGTTCTCCGATAAAGCCTCAAGCTCAAATGAATTAGCCTTTCCGTCAACTAATGCCACTGTGGGTGTATCTGAATTACCTGAGAACGAAGGAACCTGCATTTGGGGGAAATCAAGTCCTAACTCCTTGTTTCTCTGGGGGCTGCTAGTAGCACCTCCATAATTTCCTGCAAAAGGTGATGTGATGATTTCGGCCTTGCTCTCTGTTCCAGCAGGCTGTGTGGAGTAACTATTTTTAAACTTTTTGGTTTTGCTTTCATTGACTCTTCTTTCAGGTTTTTCAGAAATCCTGGGAGATGCTTCAGCATCCATCCATGGACACTTTCCTTCCTTGCTCTGGTGACTGACACCCATATCTAGGTGCTCAGCTCCTCTTTCTGCCTTACCACCAGAAGTTTGAGTCATGTCGGATTGATTCCCCAAAGGGATCAGTGGCACTGCAGGGTCAGTCTTGTCCTTAGGTTCCCTCGTCACCACCGCCCCAGTGAGATCAGCTGCGGGCCCCGGTTGCTTGGAAGAATCCAGCCCCAGCTCCGCATTCTGCTCCTCAGTAGTCACTCCTCTTCTGAGGGCAGGTTCACCTGGTACAACATCAGCTGGGCTGACCAGAGGAAAGAGTTCATATCTTGCTCTCACTTTCCCAGAATTTGCTCTCATCTTCCCAGAACTCCCCCTTCCCTTCCTGTTTTTGCCATCACCTGCCATTCTCTTAAAAGGTTCATCTGCTAGCTCAGGGGCCTGATCTAACACCTTGTCCTGCAGCTGCTCAGAAGCAAAGACGCTGCTTTCTTTCTCTGCCTTGGGGAAAGCTTCCCTTTGTAGTTCTTTACCCGCTTCGGTGCCTTTAGAACTCTCTTTCTGCTTGATAGTCTGTAGTTTAGTCATTTGATTTTTATCATCCCCTTCTTTTAGAATATTTTCTAATGGATTACTTGCTGTCAAAGTAGGTGTCAAATCAGGAAGTTCTTTTGCTGCTTGGGGCCTTGAAATACTAGCTCTAACCTCTTGGTTTGTAACAGGAGAGCAATCGTCCCTGGGTCTGCTCTCCAGAGGAGTTTCTCTGTGGTGTGCAGAGATTTCTGAAAGGGGTTCTTTCAGAGCGGGCGAGCCTATTCTCTGGTTTTCATGCACAGGAGCCCCTCGCTGGGGCACAGGCTGGGGTTTGCACTCATCTTGCTGCAGTGATTTTTCGTTTTGACCCAGTGGTACTGACTTGTCACCTTTGACCTCTGGCTCTACTCTCAATCTGGGCCGAGAAATTACTTCAGCTTTTGGGTGTTGTTCTTTAGAAGACATAGGAATTCTGAGACGCTCGGAGACTATAGAGTTCTCAGCTCCCGGTGTGGCCGCTCCGGAGTCAACTACACACTCCCTTGTCGAGTTCTCTGTAGATACAGGTCCATATTCAGTGTCCATCGTTGTACCCTGGGTGGGGAGAACACCCAACTTTCGTGAAGCTGCTGCAAAGGAACGGCTTTCAGGCACATCTCTGCTGTCCTCACCCCACAGCCCGCCTGCCCGGGGCTGAGGATATCTCTTTTGCTTTGTTTTTTTCTTTTTCTTCTTCATCATCATTGGCGTGCTTTCTGTATCCCAGGCTTCCCTGCCAACATCAATGGTTTTCCTCTGATTGCCCAGCTCGCCACAGGAAGACGAACCAGAGACCAAATCCAACTCAGAGACAGGGCAGGGGCCCAGCCTGGGGTCAAGAGTCTTCTGTGGAAGGCAGCCTCCCAGCATCTCAGGAGGGACCCTGGCAGGCTTGGGCCGGACCCACCTGTGGTCATTGGGTCTGCAAACTTGTTTGGCTTGTGTTGGGGTACCTGCAATACATGAAGCTAGCTAAAATTCCAACGAAAAACTATTACTGTTTCTTTTTTTAAAAAAATCACCTTGATGACTTATTTAAATAATCTTTTTTCATCATTCCACATACTAAGTTTGTTTAGAAAAAAGTCTCTTCCTTCCCTAACTAAACATTTCTTTCTTTTTTCCCCCAACTAAACAATTCTAACCCCTAACTGGGATTAGAAATATTTACTACAGATCATCATATTTCAAAGATTTCTCTCAAACCAGTTTACAAAATGTTTAAAACTGGAGGTATGAAATTCGAACTGAAGTCTCTTCATGTCTCTACATAAACATTAACTGCCTGTAAATCTTATCGAATACTTTTACTTCCCATTACTTCCAATTGGTACACAAGTCCCAATTCTGCAGCAAGATAGAGTGCAGAGGTTACCTGGCTAGTCTTGATACTCTATCAGACCTCCGTGCTTCACACACAGGAACACGCCTGGTCTCTCTCTTTGGTGACATTAATGGATTAGATGAAATATATATGAGTTTGGAAAGGATTTACAGTTTTGAGAGCCTGTCACAAGCATTAGACGCTTGTCAACTAATCAGGTCAATTTTGGGAAGTAGAAAAGAAGGCAGGCTTCTTCTCTATTCTATTACTACCAGTACTACCACTACCATTGGACACACACGATAATGAGTATTTTCACCAAGAAAAAGCATCCTCATTCTCAATCAGAGCATCCTACTTTGAAAGACAAATGCTTTACACTTCAAAATTCTGTTCTTAATGCACACATTCTGAAAAAGCCGCATACTAATGGTCAGATGGGTCAGCTATGAGGAGCTAGCCATGAGCACAAGAATGAAGAGAAGATCTTAGAATCCACTGTGGGGATGACTGCACAATTCTTTTAATATCCTTAACCCATTAAAATCTAAAGTATGGAAATTATATGTCAATAAAACTGGGGGGAGGGTGTGCTTAAGAAAAGAATTGGCCCTGAAAGGAAACAGCTAGCCAATGAAGAACATTCAAAACAAAATCCCAAGCTCGTAGGCTAGCTAATGAGTCACGTCACTTAGGATAAGCAATGGTGGGCAAGACTTTGGAAGTTTCCCTGCCCACAGGCAACCAGTCCACTGTGTAAATCCCTAGATCCAAGATCATGGTAAGTGCCATTAACAGCAGGTTTACGACAGTCCTTGTCAAATGTGACCCAGTGAACAGATTGTAAAGAAATTAAAAAGCAAACGGCAACAAAGCAAGAGTTCAAAAATATTTCAACAGTACCTTTTGTTCTTATCTTTACTTCTCCTAAGTCCTCACCTTTAGCTTAGTGTCTCTCTCCAAAATGTGCCAGGCCATGGCATCCCTCCACATTTCACACACTCACTGGGCCCCCTAGCAGCAGCAATTTGGTGCCACCTCTGAAACAATTTTTTTCAGTTATGATGTAAACCTTTGGTTTCAGAGTTCACGCGGGAGAGTCGAGTCTCCTCATATAGACTGGAAGACCAGGGTTTAAATAAACATCTGTGTGCCGTATTGTGATGCATTTTGCATGTAAAAAGTGGATAAACTTTTGATATGTTGAGGGTCACTGAAATCACACCTAAAACATCAAATATTTACTCAGCTCCTATTAGGTGATAAGATCATGTGCAAAGCACTAATAAAGACATGATCCCTGGCCTCAAGTTCACGTCCTATTCAGACACAGAAAAAGTAAACAAGGGTCATCCAAAGTTGATATTCATGTGTATCAACAAAAGTGTGTACTCTTGAAGTTCACCGATTAATAGAGCTTTACTTTGGAAAGTACTTTAGTGCAGTGCTTCTCAAGTTTTAATATATATCTAAGAATTACCCAGGAGTCCTGTTACAATGCAGCTCATGATTCAGAAGGTCTGAGGTAGAGATACTGTTTCTCACCAGCCCCAGGAAGATGTCTACTTGTATTGTTTTGTTTTCCCGACTTACCTGAGGTCTCGGAAGCAAGCTCCTTCGATTGACCACCGCACTGTTTCTTCTGCTCCAGTGTCTCTACCACAGGATCCTCTTCTGTAGGTAAGTTGTACTTCTGGCCCATGGCTGCGGCTGGTTCTAAGGTTAACAATAAAATACCACAGAAATTTCAGAAAAGAATTATTTCTGAAATGATTTTTTCACTCAGAAGAAACAGGGTGCAGAAATTGTTCTTTGAAGAATTCTGCTGTACTGCACAGAAGATAGGGAGTGGTAGTTGTGGAGTTGGGTTTTTTTGCATTATTTTAAAGATGTGAAAAAGAGCAGATGCGGGAGGTGGGGGTGGGGAATGAAAAACAAGTTGATTCCAGGAGCCCAAGCGGAAAGCAAGTGTTTTGAGAATGAGGGCAACGAATGTATAAGTGTGCTTTACACAACTGATGTATATGTGGATTGTGATAAGAGTTGTACGAGCCCCAATAAAATGATTAAAACAACCTTCCCCCACCCAAAAAAAAGAGCAGATGCTTGTAATGTTGGTGGGAGTGAGTCAGTGACAAAGGGAAAAGCCAGTAAGGGAACAGTTAAAGCCATGTGCTTGAGCAGGCACAAGGACACGAGCTCTCCTAGGAAATGACCTTAACTGGGAGCAGGAACGATTAACTCGTTACAGCAGGAGGGAGGCAGAGCCTGTGCGTACGGATACAAGTAGCTGGGTCAATAAAGTAGTGAGCTTGCTGGTGTTTTTCCTGCTGCTTCAATTATCTGTGAGACAGAAGAGCAGCAGAAAAGAAAGATGGAGGTGTGAGAGGTTGGAGGAGACAGAAATGAGAAAGAGGTGCCTAGGACAGTCGGAATGTGAAGAGACGTTCCAAGTAGACTATGTATCTGCCTTTATTACCTAGAACAGGTTTGTCCATCATCCTTCTGGAGACTGCACTCTGGGAGGCAGGAACAGTGAGAGCAAGCATAAACCCATACCTGGTGAAGTCAGGCAAGTAGGTGCAGCTGGCTGCTTCTCATCCTGGAGAGATTCAAACTGGGAATTTTCAGTTATTCCTCCCTGTGTCCATGCAGTTTCCATGTCCTGAATCGGCACTGGTGCCACCTCTGCTTTTGAAGGTGGTGTGACGTGCGTGGTTGGAGTCAGGTCGTTGGCCTGAGTCACATCTGTTCCAGAGGAGAGAGCCACATCCGTAGGTAGGGTTACCGCTGTTTTTGGAGGCAAAGGTGGGTCTTTGACCAAGGATACTTCTTCTAGGAATGGAGCCACATCTTTGACTGGGGCCACCTCTGTTTCTGGGGATGGAGCCACATCTTTGACCGGGGTTACCTCTGTTTCTGTAGGTAGTGTCATACTTTTGGCTGGGGTCACCTCTGTTTCTGAAGGTATAACCATACCCTTGGCCGGAGTCATCTCTGTTTCTGGAGACAGAGGCATACCCTTGGCCAGGGTCACCTCTGTTTCTGGAGATGGAGCTACAACCTTGATGGGGGATGCCTCTACTTGTGGAGGTGGGGTCATATCCTTAATCAAGGTGGCCACCTCTGTTTCTGTCACATCCTTGGTTTCTTGGGGCAGCGTCACATCCCCAGTAAGAGCCACTTCTGTTCCCGGGGACAGGGATGCTTCCATGGCTGGGAATATTTCTGTGGATATTGTATGATCCTTAGCCAGTGCCATCTCTGTTTCTGAGACTGATACCATGTCCTCTGCTGGGGTCAAATCCATTTTAATAGGTGAAGCCATCTCTTCTTCCTTAAACACTGTCAAATCCTTGGCCAGGGGTACTTGTGTTTCTGTGACTAGTACCATATCCTTGTCCAAAGACAAATTTGTTTCTGTGGGCCACACAACATCGTTGGCTGGGACTGCCTCGGTTTCTGTGAATAGTACCATGTCCTGGGGCAGTGCCACATCTGATTTGGTGACCGGTTCCAGGTCTCTAGCCAGCGCCATCTCTGGTTCTGTAGGGGGCCCCGTGTCCTGGGCTAGGGCCTTCTCTGTTTCACCAGGCAGTATTATGTCCAATAATTCTGTGGGCGTCTTCTCTCTTTCTGATGCCATTTCTACTTCCTTGGCTGACTCTAAGGAAAATAAGTTAGAAATTTAGCACCCTTCAAAGTCTACTGCAAACTTCTACATTCAAAGCTGACTTTTTTTTCTTTTTCTCTTTTTTAACATTTTATTAGGGGCTCATACAACTGTTATCCCAATCCATACACACACCAATTGTGTAAAGCGCATTTGTACATCGTTTCTCAAAACATTTTCTCTCCACTTAAACCCCCGACATTAGGTCCTCATTTTTCCCCTCCCTCCCCG